CTTTCCCTAGTTGCTCAAGTAAAGAACTGCATAATCATTACTGACAATTTTTTTTCTGACCCCAAATTCTGTTGTTTTTACCTTCAAAATATGCTTTCAGTCCATACATTTCTCATTGTCTTCACCACCACTGCCATGGTTTACCAAACTAACATCTCTCATTTGGTTTACTTTAATAATTCCTTTATCCTTCTTACCTTATAGTTTACATTCAACCTAACAATTGGTATCATCCTTTTAAATACTCAAATCTGGCAAAGATCTCTTACTTCACTCATAATAAATGTCAAGGTCCTTACAATTGCCTTCAAGGTTCTGTATCATTCAACTCTCCTGACTTCATCTCCCTTTTATCCCCTCTGTTCCAGCATATCAGATTCCTATTGTTTCTCACAATACCAACCAGACTCTGCATTAGGACCTTTGCACTGTTCCTTTTCCCCCAAATACATGCTTAAATAATCCCTTTATTTATTCAAATTATCTGTCAATAGTCATCTTCCCATGATGTGTCATCTGACCCTGCTATTGAAAACTGCAACACCTCCTACCACAACTCATGATCTCCTGACTATACTCTTCTTACTTTATGGCACACATAGGTGTGACATCAGCAAAATGGCAGAGCAGGCAACTTCAAGCTCTGATCCCTCTGCAGAAGCAAAAACAAAAACTATCAAAACCAACTTTGTCAGAATTCTGGACAATAGTCAAAGATTTATAACAATTAAGTGAATAAGAAATCAAGAAAAAGGTAATAAATATGGTAGGAAAGTTTTGCAACTATTTTTTTTTAAGAGCGTTTTTTGCTATATGGCATGTCTGCTTGCCAGAGACACAGAAAGTGATAAATTACCCCCCGATGGGAAATGGCCATACCACAATCCAGTCTCCTCCGTTCTCCTCTCCTTTTGGCACACATACACATGCAGCATGTTTCAAGCCACTGGGTCTTGAACTTGAACCATGATTGACCACATGGGAGTCCCATGCCTTAACCACTATGGCACCTGGTGGTCCCAACTTTGTGACTATTTTTATTTCTTCTTGTCTTACCCTCAATCTGGCTCATCAGTGTTCTTAAAGATGGAGGCCAATAGTTGCTTGATACTGAATTCTAGAGGGAACAAAGCAGATCTTGTCCACAAATAATTGTATTTGTCTATTCTACCTGTCTGGGAGGTACCTAAATGACTGACACAAGGTATTTGCTTCTAGTTCTCCTAATGAGAACTCTCAGAGAAAAAAAGGGTAGACATTGCTTGAAAACACTGTAGGTAAATGAAAAATCCACAACTACCTAGGACAGAAGATAAGAGTTGAGATGTGTAACAGACAGCATAAAGTCTGGAGAAAAAGCTAAAACGATTTTTTAGGGCATTTAAAAGAATCTTTGAATATTAAGGAATTTATTGGATTGTCTGAAAAATCATGATGGATTTTTGCATAGAAAAGCACAAATATATTATGACTTTTCCAACGACCCCATAGAAATTAAGGTTTTGGGGGCCAGCATGTGGTATAGAGGTTAAGGTGGCTGGATTCCACCTGGCAGCTTGAAAATCACACCAGCCCATGTGCACGCATGCCCAAAATCCCAAGAGGAGAATGGAAGAGAAGGGATTGTAGCATGGTCATCACTCCAGGGGTGATTTTTCACTTCCTCATTTTCTCTCTTTCTTTCTCTCTTCTATAGCAAGCATATATGCCCTACAGAAAAAAACAAAACAAACAAAAAACAAAAAACAAAAACAAAGAAAAAAACCACCTAAAAAAGAGCTATCACTGATCACTGTTGACTGACTTCTGGGTTCGATGGAATCAGGAAGTGAACACAAAAACAGAGTCATAAAGGGCCCAGCTAAGTGCTGAAGGAGGGTCCTACATAGTGAGTCCACTAAGGTTGAAGGGTGGCTTTTGTTTGTTTGTTTGTTTTAAGGTTGTAAAATGTAATACATTCTATCTCAAAAAGTAGCTGAATATAAGGAAAAGATTAGAGATTTCAGTGACCGTAAAAGACAAGGAATATCACCTGTCTAACGGAGTGACCAGCAGACGGCGTAATGATTCCATTGCTGGACTCTCACGTAGTCCACTGTGATTCAAGTTCCAGATCTGCTACAGAGCATGTGTGCTCACCAGAGACAGAGAAACAAAAAGCAAGAAATCATCCCCAGGGATATGGCTGCATCACAATCCCTTCTCCTCCATTCTCCTCTAGAGATCTTGGCCACTCATGCCCTACAGCAAAAATCTTTCTTAAAAAAAAGATGATGACGATCTAATGAAAACCATGAACCAAGAACTAAAGTGTAACAGGTAAACAATTTATTGAAGTTGCCTGCTCTGCCATTTTGCTGATGTCACTCCTATGTGTGCCGTAAAGTAAGAAGAGTAGAGTCAGGAGATCATCAGTTGTGGTAGGAGGTGTAGCAATTTTCAATAGCAGGGTCAGGTGACGCTTCATTGAGAAGATGACTACTGACAGATAATTTGAATAAATGAAGAGATTATTCAAGCATGTGTTTTGGGGGAAAGGAACAATCCTTTCTCCTCCATTCTCCTCTCAGGATCTTGGGCACGTATGCACACACGCACGGTGTGAGTTTAAGCCACTGGGTCTGGGACTCGAACTGTGGTCGACTACATGGGAATCCAGCAACATAACCAACATAATCGCTGGTCCCCTGTGATTTATTTTGAGAATCTACCCAGTGTTGGATGTGCTAATTCCATGGACCCTAAAATAGTACTATTGGTGTCAAATTTCCTAAGTCTGAAAAAAAGTTTTCTCTAAAAACTTGGGAAGACAGGTCTTAGCACAGTTAGCATAGTGGTAACACAGTTGAACACACACGGGAAAGATCCTGTCTCCTATTTTCATCCTGTGGTCTGCTTGTACACATCAGGTGTGCATGCCTGCCTGTGATCCATGCTGGGTGTCACTGGTGGTATATGACAGCATGGATACATTAGGCTGCATGTAACAAAATGTTTAGCTGAAAAGTGACTTAAAGATAAGATTAACTTCTGGGGAACCAGCAGTTAGTGTAATGGCTATATCGCTGGACTCCCACATAGTCGACCACGGTTCGCGTCCCAGACCCGGTGGCTTAAAACTCACGCTGGGCGCGTGTGCATGCGTGCCCAAGATCCTGAGAGGAGAATGGAAGAGAAGGGATTGCGGCATGGCCATCCCCCCTGGGGGGTGATTTCACGCTTTCTGTCTCTCTGTCTCTCTCTGTCTGTCTGGCGAGCGCACGCGCCCTGTAGCGAAAACCTCTAAAAAAAAAAAAGATAAGATTAACTTCCGAAGAGTAATTCCAGGATTGGTTAGCAACTTAAGTAAATCATCCTGGGCCCAGACTTTATCTAGCCTTCTTCTCTTCCCTGGAATTGACACT